CCCCCCCCCGATTCTTACTTAGCCAGAAACAATGTGTCAAAGTTACTCTCTAACTGTTCCTAATAGTTGTTGGCATCTTGCAGTTTCTGCTCCAGGTCTTGGTTGTTGTATTTCTCTGGATGCACCTGTCTCTCCAGGATCCAGAGAAGTTGTTTGGCTTGCAACCTCTGATGTGTCAAGAAAAACCATTGATACTCAGTTTGTCCAGATTTTTCTTATTGTAAGGATAGGAATGACAACATCTAAGGTCTTACATGTGATTTAAAAACAAAATATGGAGGTATGTGATGTGTCTGTATCAGCATGGATCCCAGGCCATTAACATCAGGGCCTAAAGACAGATGGGCAGTGGAGTAAGGACATGGAAGCCATATACACTCTTCATTTTTTCAAAATGCATCTTTCATTGTTGAAGTAAGTTTTATTCTATAGTTTTAAAGAGAACTTTAATAGGGAACATTTAGGAGAATAAAAGAGTAAGAGCAGCATTGTTTATAACAGCAAAATGGGAAATAACTTGAATATCCATCAACAGGAAAGTGCTTAAATTACTTGCTACTTACAGGAGACTGCTGTGCAGCTGTTCAAGAGAATGGAGAAACTACCTGCTGCTGGGGCCTGTTAAGAAGATGTCTGCAATATGCTGTGCAGTAAAAAAAAATTAAAGTTCATGTATGTTTATGTTATGGGCATAGAAAGGGTCTGAGGACACCCAGTGTTCGAGGAGGACAGGGAAATGTTCAGCACTTTGTGGTGTTTGGATTTTTTACTAAGTGATAATTATTTTATAATCAAAATAACAGAGGGTAAAGGAATAAGGAAGGAGACTCACTTTTCATTGTTCTCTCTTCTGTGCCTTTTGAGTTTTGTATCCCCATTCCATTAAAAAATGTAAAATAAGAAGCCAGGTAAGATAAGCAGCACCCCTGATGTAGTTCACAGGCTCTTCTCAAGCCTATGCTAGTTTACCCTTTTTGGGCACCTCCCTTCTGCTATCTTCCCTGCCTTCCTGGTCGACCCCCTCACCACCACCACCACCACCGGCACCCCCTCCTCCCC